TGAACAATATAGACATGGATGATGAAGATGTGGCATAGCTATTGTGCAGTAACTGAATCAGGATTCTTCTTTTTGGAAGAACATTGGCTAAGGAGTAATAACGTAAGGAAGATCTCTGAAACCATGAATATGGGGAAGTATTTAATAGCAGACGCTAACTCTCTATTTCTTAGAACAGAATAACAAGGAGCCCTTGGTCACTGTTTTCTGTATCTTAGGTGTCCTTTAAGACAGCAGAAGGTACCAGTTTCATCTGCCGTAGCTTTGTGGCACAAAACTGCACATCTCTGTTTGCCCTGGATCAGCCGTGGCCAAAATGCAACCCGTGTAGAATTACAGCTTTTCTGTAAATAAAAGTTTGTAGGCCTTATTGTCTGATGATAAATTTTTAAATATGAATCAAATGTAAATTGGAACCTGAATATATATATATACATATATTTATAGATTTTTAAACTATGCTTCTGTCTAATCCTGTGTCTGTAATGTTATGGTCATATTGGCCTTGCTTCTGTTTACAAATGTATGGCCAAAGGCGAATGTCAGTTTGGTGCTACTTCAGAAAGCCAGAAGCAAATAGCAGGTCCTAAAATCAATCTCAGGGGAAATCAGATAGAAGAGCAGAAATGTTTAAAACAGCAACCAGAAGGTCTGGAGGGAGGGAGGGAGGGAGGAAGCAGGGAACATCATCGTATTTCTGAAATAGCAGGAATGGTTTCCAAGCTGTGGTCTGCTAACCCCTGATGGGCTACAAGGCTTTGATAAGTTGAACAGCAATTGGGCTAAACCATATCTAATGGTGTTTTAAACAGCCCCTTCAATTAAAAGTTTTATCAGATGGGCGTGTGCTGTTTTGTGAAAAATGTTAAGGGCTGACAGCAATCACTTGCTCCAGAAATTTGGGCTCTGCTCTTCTGGTGTGTATGAAAAGGTAGAGAGCGCTGCCTGCTTTTTCAACATCACATAGGCCACGTGCCTCTGCAGGAGAAGCAGCAGCAAGAGGTTCCCAGAGGGAGCCAGGAGGATCAAGCTGGTAGCAGTAACCTTCTGTTCCACCACGTCCTTCCCAGGAACTAGTAACAGAACTGATGCTTTTTTAACTGTTGCCTTGTCCTGAGTATCACCAACAGTCTTTGCTCCTCTTCCTTTCCATCTTTCCATAGTGGATTTAGTGGCTTGAGAAGTGAGGATTGGATCCCCATCGCACAAAGATTAGACTTCTCAATGAAATGAAAAAACATATACAGCTTTGAATGCTTATCTGATTTTCTATCAACATTAGCAGATGCAAACTTTTCTTATGAGTATTAGCTCGTCTTATTACAAGATCAGTTTATCACTCTAAAAAAATCCGCTTCTGTTTGACTGCACTCTTTAATTTATATAAGCTGCCTGCATGGTAATTGTAAAAACCTTCCTCTTCCTCCTATCAAGCCTCCTATTCTTAATATCCACACTGACAATTTTCCAGAATCGTAATGTATTTATATTAGCTATGCTTTCAGTTGCCCCAATGTAGGTTACTTTCTGTCGTCATAAATACCATACAAGCACATCAATAAATAATTCGCAGAGATTATATCTTTTCCAACATATTGTGCATCTTTTTAGTAACCACAGTGGTGTTGAAGTGGAGAAAATATTATTATAAATCATAAATTCAAATTATAAATCTTATTCAAATGGTATAAATGTGTTTATCCTGAAGGAGTCTATTGTCTAATCTAAAATTAGATTGTAGCATATGTATTATATGAAATGTAAACAAAATAGTACTGGAAACAAAAGTTACAGTAATAATGTTGTAAGGGAATTCAAGTAGTTTGTCAGGCTAGCGTGCTCTGTGTAACCCTTTTTTGTTGCATCTTTCCTATTCCTGTTTTTTTGATACATATGTAGGAAGTGAGTTTTGTGAATGCTTTTATATGGTTGTTATTAATATTATATTATTATTACTAAATGTCTTTTGCTAACTGATATGATTCTGCAGTTACCTTTCAGTGTTCTAATATGCAATGTGCATATGGTTGGTTTGTCTTGTTCACGTGCACAGAGCTAAGCTGGGTATAAGGTCAGAAGGAAATCTTTGCCTTGTGTCAGTAAGAAACAAGAGAGGAGAGTGTTTTTCTACCACTTTAGCATGGAAAAAAGTTATTTACCAGTGTTGTCTGGGGGTGATTGGAGAGGATAAATATGCCTATAAGCAAGGCATATGGGTACAGAAGCAGTGATGGGGTATACGGGTAGGGCTGAAGATCAGTGTATAGGAGTAAAGATTTAGTGGCAGGGATCAGGAAAGGATTCCTGTAGGAGCTGGAGAGGTCACAGCTGGATAAATGCATTGGGGTCAGCTGGAAGTCAGTGCCCCAAAAATGGCTATGGCTCTCCACCACAGGCTCACTGCACACTTTCCCTACCTGTTCTCTCCCATGTCTTCTGGAATCCCAGCTTCTTGTCTGATTGTGAACTGGAAACCTTACTTTCCTGCTTACTCCAGAAACAAGGACACACACTAGTACAAAAGGCCCCTCAAACCCCTCCTGGGAGCACAATAATGCCTCTGCTTCACCAGATAGTTTGCATCTTCTCCAAGTGGGATGTAACCCATCATTTGAAATCTGCTCATCAAAGAGGAGTTCGTTCACTCTTCTTCCCCCTATTCGTTAGAATGTGACAATTTTTTTTTTTTCCTTTGTGCTGAAATACAGCTTTTTTGATAATGTTTAACTTACCAAGAAGCAGAACAGTTCAGGATTTCTAGAGCCTAATCTAATTCACAATTCCTTGTGATCTAGGACCTGCTTAAAAAAAAAATAAAAAAATCCAGTGGATGATTGCACCTACTGCTGATACGTTGAAGCTTTCTGACAATATGCTTCATTTTTTTAATTACTATTTTGCAGCCCACTTGAAAATTGTTCATGAAACCGCAAGACTCTGCAGAGAGATTGAGAGCCACTTTCTAAGGGGATATCTTTAAATGCAAGTTACTGTGTTGGTGGTTTTTTGAAATTCAGGTGTTGGGTTTTTTTCTTTTATCCCATCTGTGAAACACCAAAGTGTTGATAACCATCTGTGAAACAACATTTGATGTAATGGCTATGACACTGCTTTAGAAATCTTGTGAAATAGATTGTGTGGTTAGAAGAGCTGACATCTAAAAATGTATGTCATGGATGTAGGTAATAAATGTTGCTTGGGAACTGTTGCAGGGGAAAAAGAACTTGATTTGTGTACAATATACTGATCTTAACTTTTTAGCTCTTTAAAATCTCTTTCTTAGTATTTCCCTGTATGTTCGTTGTAAAGTATTTAAAGATACGAGTCATTGCATTTGCCAAAGTATTCAGTGCATCATTTAAAATTACTACCAAAGGAGAGAGGTGGATTCACTTCACATAACAGCTAAGCATAAAAATAATGATTTGGAAATAATCGTGTGGTTCCAAAGCAGTAAAAATCATTTTGTTTTTCTATATGAGCAGAGCTCTGTGCAGAACGGTGATCTCATTCTACCTTACCAGATTACAGTTACCTACGTAGATTTTCAGTACTAAACTTTATCCTGGTGATTTTGTAACTTTATTCAGAAAAAGGGAGAAATGCAAACACTTAAATTTTAAGTAATCGCTCTTTGTCCGTGGTAAAAGATTGCAAGCACAAGCTTAGTATTTCCCCCCAGGATTGGATTCATAGTCTTTCAAGTTTTGCAATTACAGGGAATGTGCAGGTGAATAGGGAAAAGCAAATGTGAAAGGAAAAAAAATCAGATGGAGAGGAGGAAATTTCCCTTCCTTTATTTTACTTCCTTTAGTTTTCCTGGAGAAAAGAAGGCTGGGGGGTGACCTCCAACCTTTCAATACCTAAAGGGAAGGAGGAGAACCAACTCTTTGAAAGGGTAGATAATAGCAGGACAAGGGGAAATGATTTTAAGTTGAGGGAGGGAAGATTTAATTTGGATGTCAGGGGGAAGTTCTTTACAGAGAGAGTGGTGAGGTGCTGGAACAGGCTGCCCAGAGAGGCTGTGGATGCCCTGTCCCTGGTGGTGTTCAAGGCCAGGTTGGATGGGGCCCTGGGCATCCTGGTTGGTGGCCCTGCATGTGGTGGGGGGTTGGAGATTCGTGATCCTCGAGGTCCCTTCCAACCCAGGCCATTCTGTGATTCTGTGATTTACAGAAGGAAGGGCAAGATGAAAGTGTGTAATGAGCACAGGAGAAATAACAGGGTGAAAAGGGAGGAATAATGTTTAGTGCTCAGACTTGTAATGCTTTGCATTTGCGTGGAAGATAGATTGAGATTTCTGCTTTCTGCTTTCTGACTAACTGCTGTGCTGAGATGTACTTTATTCCATGTCCATTTTTGCCTTCCTGTGGTTGCTTCTAAGAAAGGGTTGAAATGATCTTTCTGAGGCAACCTCAATCGCAAAGTGCACTATCTCCCTCATTGTTCTGTCTTCCTAACCTAGCCATCTAAAAACACTGCTGGAAACACAAATAATAAAAAAGCCAGTTATATATATATATATATATATTTGCTATTGTTAATTCCACTCACTGGCATTTGGGACAGAGGACAGCATACAGAAAGGCTGTAACACTGAACGGTGGCAAAAATTCTGTGCAAAACCTTGTTGTAATAACGATGGAAGTGAAAATTAGCCTTGTTTTTCAAGTTGTTTTTTTTGTCAAGTTCTTGTCCACACCGTGTTCGAGGCTGTTCATTCTAGATGGAACACTTATAGTCAATACTTTATATACCATCCTCAAAGAGCAATGTGAAATATAAGTGATTGTCTAAATCCAGAAGAGGTTTATCCATCTCTACATCAGTTTGTCAGAATTTAAATGGAAAGTGAGACTGAACAGGAAACTGTAAATATATTAAAATATATTATAAAAATATAAATGCATGAACTCTAACTGCTAATTTATCATCATTCAACCAGACTAGGCGAAGTCACTTCATAAGCAAATGTAGGTATAGATCAACAGACTACTCACATGAGCCTTTGTTACAGGTTAGACATCAGTGTATGGATTTCATCCATGATCTGTAATAAAATAACATAAATTAGGAAGATGGCAAAAAAGGTTTAATTCATTAGTTTGTTCATTTGTATGTCTACATGTTTCTAAAGAGTATATATGGCCTTAAAGCAGAGTAAATTGGGAAAGTATGGGTTTTTTTTTAACTGCACAATTAATGTTTAAATAGCGAGTAGTTCTGGTCTTCGTGAGTTATAATGCTAAAAACTTGTTTATTTTTAAACAAACCTCCTGTTTTCTTCCATTCACTTGGTGCTATGCATAAAACACCTTAGCTGTCCACCTGAGCACCACTTCAGTGTCACTGAGCCCTTACCTGATGCACGGCAGAGTGCATCCCTACAACAGAAACAGAACAGAAATGGGTGGTGCAAGGACAGCACTTACGGTGCCAATTCACGATTAATTTTTGGGTGATAACATCTACTTCTTGGAAGGTAGAACAACTCAGTATTAATTTCTACTAATAGAAAGATACAGGCCTTCGTAAGAATTACACTACGAATTGCTGTGTTACAGGATTCATTTTCATGTGCAGTGTCTGTGCCATTGCACAGGAGAATTTGGACAGCAGTCTGTAAGGGCACCCAGTAACGGTAAGAAGACTGAAAAACTAATGTAGCTGTGCTCTGTTCATTCAAAAAGGAAATTGAAATTAAAAGCAGACACAACTTTGGGAAGTTCTAGATAACAGACTTCATGTTGTATGTTAAATTTAGCTGCTATCATTATGTTGCTTTGCATTAGCGTTGTACTATTTTCCATCAAAGGTCTGTCGTTCTTTAGATGATGTAAACTCTTCAGTGCAGAATCGTATTTCAAGCAGGGTAATATTTAGGTTTTAAAGACATCTTTTTAATTGCATTGACAGATCCATGTTGTCCTTACATAATAGGCAGGATTGGGGTGACTGTATCCTGAAATAGTCATTAAAAACATAGAGTAAATTGCAAGACCATTACGTCTCCAAGGTGGTATGAATTATGGTGTGGCGGTGGTGGTATGGATTATGGCTCAGACTTGCTATGCAAAAAAGTGCACACTGTGAACACTGTCCTGTTGGGGTGCATTGCACATTCCCCAGAGCAGTGCTCAGGAGGAAGCTCCCGTTCCCATCCTCTTTTCTCACTATTTATGCTTTGGTACTGCAGTTCTCTAAGACCAGTGTCTTGCTTTTGCATCAGGGCTGGCAATCTGGTGTACATGGGATAAAAGGCTTATGCCTTCAAACTTGCTCCTGTAGCTTTTGCACAGAGACAGGACTATATATCAACATTAAAACCACTCCTTCACCCTTGACTCCTGTCTTTATAGCTCATTTAAAGTAACCATTACAATCTAAGTATCCTATTTGTAAATAATCACTGAATTTAGTGGCAAATGACTGAAATATCAGCAGTGCCATTGTAAGTATCAGATCCATGTGGTATTCCCTGAATCACATTCTTAATCTTGGGAATATAGAATCCCAGTCATGCCAAGCTTTGATTTTAGATTACAGGAGTTAAGCTTAAGTCCCCAGTAGTACATAGATTTGCCTAACAGAAGAGCAAACTTAATTTTGACTGGATCAGAATTCTTTTTTTGTGCTCAATATATTAATGTTTGGTAATAATAATTAAACAGCAGCAACAAAAACCCATGACGCAAACATACTGCATATTCTGTGCAGGTGAAAGCTGTTACTAAATTTTGCTTGTTCGGAATAAAGAAAGTTGAAAATGTGCTCTCTTTCGTATTACTTTAATCTTAGTGTCGTTACCTGTAAGTATTCAGCGTATCTGTGCTCACAAAACCTAGTGAACGTCAAGAAATTAATAACATTCCAAAGATATGGTTCAGAGTCTGAGATTTAAGCCTTAGGATGGGATGAATCGCCCTCTGGAGGTGCCCGTTTCAGTCTACTGGCTTCACAGGAATCCTGCCTTAACTGCCTAGCTTAAACTAAAAGTGAAGTGAGTGGACTGTCACCAGAGGAGAGGAGTAACTAAGCCATGCTGGGTCTTTTCTGTAAACCTTTCTATTTGTTATGAATAGCTACCTTATTCCTCACCTTTATTTGTCACTCTTCTTCTTGCACCACTTATAAAATAAGTACAATTGTTACTGTCACTATTTTTTGTGTATTTCCTGCTTGTTTTTTCTTTTCTTGTCCCATCTTATTATCTTTCTCTGTCTTTTTATCTTTCCCTGGCTTTTTTAGCTACCATCTTTTCTGAAGCTTCTCATTTGCTCCCTCTCTGATCATCCTGCCTCCTGTCCTGAGAGCACTGTCCTAACTTCTGATCTGGATGACTGCTGACCATTTCCTCTGATGCTGATATCAGTATTTTCCGTGAGAGACAGTACTGTAGTGAAGAGACAGAAAGAGAAGATGGCACTCCTGTGATTTTATTTTTGTACCGTTTTGAATCATCTAGAAGTATTGCTGTGACTGCAAATTAAGTGTGCTGGTTTCCTAATGAACTTGTAATTTAAAGATGTTTGTAGAAATGTAAAATCAAATGTGAACCCACATTAAAGTAATTTAAATTTAACAAAATATAGCATTAGTCTGTTTTTGTTTTTTTTTTTTGGTAAATATGGAGACATGGCTCACTTGCAGAAAGTGGGTTATACCTTAAAGGTTGTGGACTAGCAAATTCTGACTTATTGAAGGATAAAATTATTTTCCTCCTCCCTACAGTAGTACTTTCTTTATTCAGACCCATTGCTTAAAAATCTCTCCTTCTGTTAAGTTTGTTTCCTTCTCTATCTTCTCTTTTTTTACTTCCTTTTACTAGCTCAAGTTTCCTGTTCCTTTTTGCACCGGACTTTCCAAACCCTCTTGGTTCAAAACCAGTCCATTTTTCTCTCACATATACATCCATCAGTTTAAACAACTGTCTTAAGCATGATCAGATGTGCCATTTCAGGACTTCCAATAGATAAGAAACTCAAGCACTCAGTGACAGCAGTTTATTTTATGCCACACATGCCTCACGGGAATCCACATCAGTGGCATAATAATTATGGACAGGCATGAACATTCCCATAAAAATACAAATTTAAGGTATTGGTTCAGTATAGGATTGCTAACTTAAAAGGAGCATCTGAAAGAAAGCAAACATTCTGCCTTCATAATTGGCGTTGCAGGAGCATTTAGATTTTATTTGCAGATAGATCAAAGAGGAAATGCTAGCACAAAGAGTGCTTTGTATTGACAGTAATGGAAACAGTTAAAGTAACAAAAAAAGAAGGACAACTAGAAGATGTACATCCATAAAAGTAGTTGATCTTTTTTTATAAATCATGCTTGTTACAGCAGAAATCTGCAATAAAAGTTAATGTTTTCTGAGGGGTAGATACATACACATTTTGTAATCTTTACTAAATGTTCTTTGCACAATCTGAACTCCTTGGATTTGACATAGTACAGTGAAAGGAAAGCTAAGTACATGATAAAATAGTGACATTTTGGAATTTTTCTGATATGTACAATATGGTTCTGCAGCCTCTCCTGGTACTTAGATAGCTTACAGTAATGATAGCAACTTATGACAAAATGCTTGGGTGTGGTTGAGCATATCATTTGTGATGCCCAGAAGTTTTAAACCAGTGTAATTACAAGAATTCTGCGTAATTTTGAGTCCATTAAAAAAGCTTTTTTTTTTTTTTAAATGTCAGATTCATTTTCTGAGTATGAGGTTGACGTGCTATACAAGAATTAGAAAGCAGAGCAATGCTGGACCCAGAAGTAGTTATATGGAGGACGGGGTTTTGGGTTGTATAGTAACACTGGTAAGTTTTTTATTAGAATGGATCTGCTGCAATTAATTTTATTGAATGAACCATACAAACATTATCCATGGAGTGAGAAAGAAAGACCTCTAAAAACTATGTAAAGCCTATTAGTATTATCCTCATATTATATAAAATGGCATGCATACAGTTAAATTATAGCTGCTGACATTCTGTCCTTTTCATTGACTATTTAATGTAATGTAATAACATCCTGAAACAGACTGTTCCTTAATATCTTTATCAGTTTTACAGTAGTTATGGAACATGGTCTTATCATGAAAAATAATATAATTTTAAGATTGGCATATTATTGTTAGAGGGAAATACATCAAACTGAATTAGCATGGGAGAATCAACTGTGTTTTTGGGAGTACTCTAATGGCATTACATAAGGTACAAAACTGTTGCTTGTTTAACCATACTACTAACCTAAAATGTAGGGCTACAGTGTGAAGACAGAAGTATTTTTACACTCAAATTTGTGTTGGGTTTTTTAATTGCAATTTCTGGGTGACAGTGTCTCAGTAAAAATAACCAGTTAAAATCTCTCTCTCTTCAACATATGAAGAATAGTGAGGAAAGCATAGCTGGAAATACTAACAAAGCAAGACAAGTTTTTCAGCAAATAAACGAATGCAGCCATAGGGAAACACTAGCAAGAATAGAATGACATTGAGCGAATACTACTACACTGAGATGTGATAATATACATAATCTAGAAACCCTTTCAGGAAATAATCATGTGAAATTAGATATTTCTGTTCATTAGCACAGCTTAGGTGCGTCTGGTCTTGAGAGGTGCAGTGCCACAACAAATTCCATGAAATGCTTTTTGATTGCATTACAAACAAGCCTGGCTAAGGCATAAATAGAATATAACTATCTGTTTCTATATAGGGAAGATCAGGTGAGGGAGCGTAATTTATAAAAACAGCCACCCTGCATGCAGCCCCTGCAGTTCCCATGGCTGGCAGGCACAGAAATAATATTATGCATGAAAATGGAAGATCCATGAAGGCTGTGATGAAGGTTTATTTCATGTGACTCTCTATAGGGCTGGGAAGAAGGACTGTGCTATGATATGAAAATAAGGGTGTGGAAAAGCTTAATGGAGGATTTTGAATTATGTGCGAGAGTGTTCCCAAATAGGCTACAAGATATTGCTAAGATAGAGAATATTTTTAATGTCATATTTATTTTATCCGAGATATAGGGTATTTTT